TCTATCTATCTATCTATCCCTCTCTATCTATCTATCTATCTATCTATCTATCCCTCTCTATCTATCCCTCCCCCCTGTCTAGTCTAACCCCGTCTAGTTTCTGTGGCTCCCCTTCAAGGGAGTCTTGTCCTACCAGCGAGGTCTTAGACCAGGCCCCCCGAGAGCGGATGGCCATGCTCACACTGTCGGGCACTGGCAGGTTGGTACAGGCCCACCACGAGCGGTTGTGCAATGCACGTGGTGTTTTTAAACCTGCACCGGAGGGGTATTCCAGCCTCCGCCGGGGACCGGAGTCCCGGGTACACAGAGCACTTACACCGTCTTTAGAAGAGAGTGAAGTAACTCTGCTGGCTCAAACGACCTCTCTTCATAACCTCGGTTTCATAAGTTTCGTGACGCAACAAAGAGTATGGAACGCACCAAAGGACAGACGCGTTCAGCACGTGAGCGGCCGATCAGCGCTGTCCCGACAATGACGTAAATTAAGACGTCACATATTGAAAAGACGTGGAAAGCGCTAAGAATTCTGGGACCTGGAGTTCCAGGGGTCAGGGCCTGGCTGTGTGGAGGGGCTTCCTGTCACAGTCCAAAGACATGCTCATTAGGTTGGATGGTAGCTGGTGTATAGGTAGGGGGTGTAGCCTTGTAGGTTGGTAGTTGATGTAGGTAGGTAGTCGGTTGGATGTATAAAAAAAGTGAATGGATGGATAGGTCCGGAGATGAAAAGGTTCTTAACTGAATAACACAGCTACTGTAGGATCTTTTCATTTTACTGACTCTTGACTTTGTATAACTTAATTATAAAGCTGAATTCAATTTGATCATCACAAATCAATATCCATTTATCTATATTATTTCTGACCACTGACCTGCATGTTTGATTGTAACCCCTCAACACCTCAAGTCTTTTAATGTCATTCCCCTTAAATCAAGGCAACAATCATCTGTAGAACTCAAATGAAATACATTAAAAGTTTTTGTGAGATAAAATGAAGACAAAATTCTCAGCCAGTTTTAATCTCTTATCTCTTTATTTATTGGTGCCGTGGTGCGTTCAGGGACCCGGAGCAGCCACCAGAATCTCCCACAACAGGATCAACAGAGCTTTTTACAGGAATAAAAATATATATTCAACAGAACTTCAAGAGATGAAAACAGAGGGTGTTGTTACAGAAGTATTTTAACATCCAAGTGAAAGTGGTCACTTGTCACATTTCTGTTTCTCAGCTTAGAATGATTCAATTTACTCAAGGTTGTTTTCTTACATTTGAATACCATAACTCTGAGTGACATCTGATCTTTACCAGAGTTCTTTAGTCAAACCTGGATGTTTAAGTAGGAGACGAAGGCCCTGATTGGACAGAAAGTATTGTAGATCCTGTAGGATTGTTGACACTTTTCTATGCTAAACAGTAACAGACTATAAAGATTAACTCAGCTTATTTAAAGCTGATTAAGTAACTAGTGAGTTTGTTGACTCATCAATCAGCATTTTGAAGTCAAGACTTCTGCAGGAGGAAACAGATTTGATTTGTAGTTGAATAAAACAACCTGAGAAAGTTTCATTCAGTCGAGGCATCACAACGCGCTGAGAGGGAGACGGGAACACAACAGAGGAGGGATTTTTATATTAGCATCTTATTAACAATCAAATTACACTTCACTTGAAAAAAAATATTACAGATTATCGTCTACTGAGCAACATATCATTCATACCAATTTTTACAGTCTATGATTCATACAGTATTTGCTCTGCAGTCTATCTCTAGTGGAAACTCAATGAACCGCAGGTATTTTCTTTGCATTCTGCCTCAGGTGGACACTAAAATATATTTATGTTCACATAAATAAATGACTAAAACGTTTAAAATAGACGCAACTTTACAATTTTATGTTGAACTATTTTTCATGCATTTTATCTTGTAAAAGAGTTTATAAATGAATGAAACGCTAAAGACTGTCTTGGTGTATTGGGGAACCTTAGATGATTCTGCGAAACAGTGGTCCCATCTTTGTCTTATTTTGGTAGCAAGAGGTCAGCACTCAGATGTGAGTCGACTGAGCATGACTGTGTTTTCGTCCTTTGTCCTTCATTTAAACTTTCCACAGCACAGATTTGCAGTGAGTGATATGTTTGACTGTCAAAAGATAACAGGATGAGTTCTTACATTACAAAATGCAACTTACACATGAACATGTTGTCCAGAGGTGGCGCCAAAATCAACACAACCTGAAAGTTCCTCACTGGAGTTAAAAAAAAAAAGATCAGGTTCAATAACTCTCTTTTTATGATAATGATGTAACATTTTGTGCCATTTAAGATGAGTACTTGATATAGAAGAGAGGCCCTGTAGGTTGATATGTAACTGTAAATACAACACAGGACAAATCAGTGAGCTTGTTCAAACAGACGCTTGAGCCAATTTGTTTCACATTGAATGTGCACACACAGACATGTTCAAACATGTCCTCCAGCCTGCAGAGTTTCTCTACACACTGACTGAACATGTTGGTACCAGTTTGATACCAACAAAAACAAACCGCAGAGGTATTAAAAACCTGCTGGGCGGAAACTTAAACATTCTTGTAACAGTCAATAGTATCACTCATTGTGAATCTTTGCTATGGAAAATGTGCAAATAATTCTGTTTCTTCAGCCTGCTGTAAAGTCTCTTCTGACACCTACCTCATGGCAGCGGTTAGAAGCATTACAAACTACACCAAAGAAATGATCTAGCTGGCTGCTGATTGTCTAGTTTGCTTTTCTAAGTCATAAAAAAATTATTTCAGTCTGTTTCATAACCAATAAAAACTCCTTATAGGATTTTTTAAGTACAATTTATCAATAAGTAAGACATTTTTCTGTCAACATGCACTTAAGCCATAGACTATAAATATTACTAATATAAAGCTAATATAAATATTAATTAAATATAATAAATAATAATATAAATAAATATAAATAACTAATATAAATATAATATAAAGACTAAAGCGTAAACTCCTCTATAGTTGTTGTTGTGTTTACTCTACAAGGGCAGATCATTTTTAAAATGTTAACATCAAGGTGTATCAAAGAAAACTTAAAACTACAGATTGGGCCCAAAAACAAAGTGACAATCTCGTGTGTTGAATAATTGAGCCAATGTGGACGTGCAAAGAAATGCAGTTTAATTCAGGGTTAAGTGTCTTGCTCAAGGACACATCGGACATGTTGCTGCAGGAGCTGGGGATTGAACCCCTGACCTTCTGGTTGAGGGACAACCGCCCCTATATATAGCCGCCTTCTATATAATAGACTTCTTTATGCAGGAAATTGAGATGTACCTACTGTCCTATGAAATGAATGCAGGTTTAAAACACTTAACTCCATTTCCAATACAGGAACTGTGTTTCAGAATGAATCAGCTTGATTATAAAACATTTTGTATTTATGGAAATTAACTTTATATTCTAAGACATGAATAAAAACCCAACATTTCTGCTGTTAAGAGTTTAATACTTCAGTGTACAGTGCCATGGTGTCAAAAATACTCCTCCTCTCCATTTTACAATAAACCACAGTAAATTGCTGAATTATTAACAAACCATAACACACACCAGTTTATCCCTGTTATGATGTTTCTGTTTACATGTTTCATTACAATCCTCTATAATACATTGCTGTATGTATTTTCAAATTCCTCCATCAGATTTTAGGTCGATATTCCTCCTTTGCAGGCAGGTGCTTGTTTCAACGATTCTATCCATCACAGGTTGTTTATAAGTCAGAGATTGGATATTTTTGTTCCGTTGTATGTTTATTAAACTGAGTTTGTGGACAAATTAAAAGGCATCTGCTAAAGTCTTGTGTGAAACTAAAGGTGAAAATGTTCAGGGTCTTAGATCAGAAAGACGGAGAACTGGAGGATGTAGCTTTTTTTTCTTTTTTTTTTTTTAAATGCTTTCCACCACCGAGTTCAAGTCTCATATGTCAAAGCAGCACTTGAATGCACCACACAACAATGCAGTAAAAATGTTACTGAGATAAAAACAAAAAAAACAAGCCAATCGTATCGTAAGACAGATTCTGGTGTCCCTCACATAGAGGTGAGTATATGTCCTGACCGTTTCTATAATACTGTCAAACACTTTGAATAACGATCAAAGCATTAGGCAAAACCAGATTATCTAGCATGATTTTGAAAGTAGCATTCCCTCAGTGCGCCGTCTACACCCACCCCCTCCCCTCTGTGCTCCCTCTAAAGCCCCGCCCCCCTCACTTACATGCACAAGCTCTGTTGCTCCAGAAGAGGACCTCAGCTCATCGCTTGCATTGTGTAGAAAACGTCACTATTTTACTACTCACAAGGGCCAACGACAAACTCACAGTATAAACTCTGTGAAGCGCTTTGAGTGTGGGCTAGTGCATTCATTGGGTAGAGAGCAAGCAGGGAGACAGGGAGGCGTGTGATTGGTTCATCAGATTGGTACCTCGTGGCAGACATTGGTCTAAGTTTTTACAGGCTTACAACTGCTACAGATGACAGATTTTCTTTGTTCCTTTTTCAGAGCACCAGTTATTAATTTCTGTCAGGACCTAAAGACAATTTCAACCAAAATCTTAAAAAGTGGATCTGGAGGAAATTACCAACCCTGCAAAAATGTTTTTTAATATCGAGCCTGGACTAGATGAGAAAGTTGAAAGCAGTCTAATACTCAGATCTCACAAGGGGAGAACAATGATTCACAGATCAAAAGAAAAGGCACAACTTTGAATAAAAGATCCAAATTGTATCAAACTGGATCCTTTAAATGATTCTAATAAGCGCTAACAACACTTCAGGCGTGAAGTTGTTGGGATGTTTTTTACAATACATCCCCAAATTTAAAGACTCTGCATGTTCAATTTGCAGGAAGCCACCCCTGAACTAAAGGCAGCCTGAAGGGAAGAAATCAATGTCAAAACTGACCAATGCTTTGGAATCACTATGAAGGAATGTGAAGTGTACGTTAACAAGGTTCAGTTGTTAACAAGCTGCAGTATCATCTCAGTGTGTCAGTAAATCACAGCGGCAGACTGAAACTGAAGCTCTTTGTTCCTGCGGCTCATAAACTTTGACCTTGTTCCTTTTTTTTTTTTTCTCTCCAACAACAATGACATCAGACGATCACTGTGAAACCTGAACGCACTCTGCAAAGTGCTGCAATTCAAACCTCTCGCTTTGAGAAACGTCTCACTCTGAAGCCTTTTGAGATACACTCTCTGAATTCTGAGGCATTTATTTGTACTGCGCTCAAGGCTTTGGACTGACGGGACTGAAATTCCTCTTGTAATCTTTTTAAAGCCAGAAGACCACACACTCGCTGGTCAAGAGGCTCTGGACAGTATACAGGCCGGGTTAACCAAGCATCCAGCAGAAGATCAAAACTGAACTCGACAAAGTAGCCAGCTCAAAAGTTCACTGCTGTCAAAAAGGCAGTGAACTGTGAGAAAGTTGCCTTCGTTCTCTTGAAATGTAATCCTTGTTGAGTGGAAGGTTTTGTTTCTCTAACAGCTCAGAATATTTGCTCAAAAGAAGAAGTTGCGAGGACACTTTCAGGTTGAGTCAAAACTGTTGAAAGTGGAGGTGGAAGCAGCTTTGTTCTGAATTAAGAACCAGATCCTAAAGTGAATCCTGTTAAACCTGCTCCATGTCTATATTCTCACTGACAGCATTTGAGTATTTGATGAATCATAGTTCCAACCTGACTGTTGTGATTCTGCTACCAACATATATGTCAAAATATATAAACTTATCAGGCTATTTAACTGAATATCTTTGAGATCATGCCTTTAAAATCTAAAGCTCACAGCACACATGCATGCCTAAAAATCTTAGAAAATCCCTGCAGGAGGAAAACCATGAAAAAGACTCTGCGTCATAATGATTACATGATGTCCTAGATGGGAGGTAAACTCTGATGTTTTAACAATATCTTGCCTTTATATCTATTCGACATGTAATTGGATGTGTCCACATAACCAACCAAGAGTGGAAAAAAACATTCTGGCAAGCAGGAAGGAGTATGAGGCTGCTTCATCACGTGCACGATGATTGCTCACTGGTCGCAGGATATACATGCGATACGGTAAAGAAAACTTGGTTTGTTTGTGTTCACTTATGCAGCCTGGGAATTTCAGGAATTTTTGTGCGTGTGAAAACACCACAAGTTATCCAGTTAATTATTTTTTTATGGAGGATCTTTGCAAACATATAGTATACAAACTTTAACTCCACCTTACACTTTGTTTGTGTTTCTAAAACCAGCCAGTAAACAAACAGAGGTTCAGTGGAGTGGTCGGTAGATATAGAGAGTTTTAACCAAGCTGCCACTCCAGACTGCGGTTCCTCCAGTGTCCACTTGAGGCTGGCTAAAAGCCCTGGTCGTCAAATTCAAAAAGCCAATTTTTAAAAGCAGAAAAAACATGTTTACAGCCTGGTCGAAAAAATTGCTGCATTTCAAATATGCTGTCCGTAATCAATAGGCTTCAAAAAGCCCACTTCAGTAACCAATGGGTGATGTCACCGAGACTGTAGCCATGTTTATTAAGTCTATAGTTTAACACTTTGAAATAAGAGTTCTATCAGATAAGAGATCAGCTGTGGGTTTTAAATGGACGAGTCCGACTGATGTCCGTGAAAGTGTCGCAGCGACTTGTGTTTGAGGAACGCAGCGATGGACGACGACCTTTTGACCTTGGCTGAGATGTCCAGAGGCCTCCCTGCTGATGAAGCAGAGGAGAGGTGATGCTTCTGCCGTCGACGCTGGTGCTTCCCATGCTTCCACATAGACTCCACCCTCTTGACTCCTCCTCCTCCTCCTCCTCCTCCTCCTCCTCCTCCTTCTACGTCTCCTCCACCCAAAGCAGCCCGCGGTGGAGCTCCCAGCAGCTGGAACACTTCGGGTGACGACGTGCGGCTCAAGTACTGCCAGGGCTTCTTTCCCGCTGTGTCCCTCAGCTTCAAGTGTGCGCCGAACTTGCTGACCAGCAGGCGGATGATGTTCTTGTGGCCGTGCATGGCGGCAATGTGGAGAGGGGTGTGGCCACATGTGGACCTGGCGTTTATGTCGAAGGACAAACCTGCCTTTTGGACTCCATACCTGAAACCGAAGCCAGAGACGATGGGTCAGATAGGACAGTTGATAGAATAAATCATCTGCCTGTCTTAAATCCAACAAAAATGTGAAGGCTCTCGAGGATGTTTAAGGTAAAAGAAACACAACTTATCAAAGTAATAAACAAACGAGCACTGCACTGTTAAAACAAGTATTTCTGGAGTTAGAAAAAGTGCTAGGGTCGTACCATAACGTGTTGAGAACTCGGTGATCTCCGTGTTTGGCGATCCAGTGCAGCACAGTGAAGCCGGAGATGAAGTCTCGTCTGTTGAGCAGAGACGAGTCGTCTCTAAACAGAGAGTAGATGTCAGGCCACGCCCCCGCCGCCCCCTTCACCAACCAGTCGTGCTCCCTGGACTCCAGAGGAATCTGTGACTGAGGACGGGAGGAAAGAGCAACTTAAACAATGTGCCTCCCACAGATCCATCACCTTTTGGTTTAAACAAAGAGCTGATGTTGTTGCTAGAAATTTCAATTCTAGTTTTGATACCCAGCCCTAAAAACTTCATATTTACAGACTTTAGAGCTTGTAACATTCTTACCTGTCTACTGGAGCCTTCAGGTGGAGCAGTCGAGGAGGAAACGGGGAGGCTCTTTCTCCCCTCCATCCCTTCTGTCAGGTTGGCGAGGCTGTGGCTGCGAGGCGGCGTTGAACAGGACGACAGCGAGGACGAGGACACGTCGTAATGAAGGCTGAGCGAGGAGGAGATCATGTGGAGGCGGTTCAGACGAGCCGCCTCACTGCCTCCCCCCCCTCCTCCTCCCCGCATCTCCTCCTGCATGAGCTGGTCGAGGTCGGCCCCCATGCTGCGGCACATCCGGCTCCTCAGATGACTGCTGAGCCGCCTGGGGACCCCCGAGTGCTGCCGCATGGGGGGTGAAGAGGTGGAGCCATCGCTTATCGCCGCCTCTTGGTGGTGGTCGTCGTCGAAGAGATCACCTGTGGAGTGAAGCGTCTTTACTACAGCAGGCTGTTGTTACATGAAACATGTTGCAGTAGGTTGAAAATAAATGGTACCATCAGAATCACAATACGAGGCCCCTTACTCTTTATAGTTTACAATTTTAACAGTTTCATGCAAAGATATCTGTCATGTTTTTACAGACAAATCTTGAAAGAATGCCGAATACCAGCTTGTTGTGGAAGTATGAAATTAATCGGAACTGACTGATTTAATGTAATTTCACAGTATGGCTCTGACCTGTGGAGAGGTGCTTTGGCATCACACGGGCTGCAGACTGGTTGTCATGAAGTTGATCATTGGAGTGATAGAAATGGGAGAAATGAGCTTTGGGTTCTTGGTCGTCATGGAGATGTCCTGCAGAGTGGTGCCAGGGTGCCTGAATTTTATTGACGCCATATAACGCTGAAGGCTCATCTTTGCTCTTTTGGGCTCGCTGGAGAACTTCCTGGATTTGAAAATCACCCCTGGTGTTGCCTGGTGACACAAAAAAAAGTTTAAGAGAAAATTGACGGGCAACATTTTCTGGTCTCTACAGCTAGAACGGAAATGTGATTTGCCTCAGAGGTCACATGAAAAGGCTTGCAGAGAGTACCATTTGATTCTGATTCTGACTCTACATGTGTAAGGGGTTTCCTTTTAAAGTATGAATCCAGAGAGGGGTTTGAAGCAGATCTTAATTGGCTCCCATAGCAACCAAAAGCACAGGTAAAAACATGAAAAATCCCAACCTGTGAAATCAGAACTGCTAGTTACCCTGTACATCTTGTGTCTAATTCTTTATGTAGGAACATCATTTTTAGGACCCGATATGTTTTGCAATTTTTGCCATGAAATTAAGCTCTAAGATATCATTTAAAAATATAAAACATGAATTCTTTGTCTTTGTTTGTTTTTAGGCCATACCGCCACATAGATGAGAATCAGCACAAAACGTATTAAAGGAGAAAAAAATCAATGCGGCTTCCTGAGAGCGCTGAATTGTACAATTCACTTAGCAGACGCTTTTATACAAATCGACGTACGTCAGAGAGGAAGTACAACACAAGCGAGGATCTAGAGAGGAGGAAACAACGTCAGTAAGTGCAAACGAACATCTTTAAGTCTGATCGGTCACACAGGTCCTGACAGACAAAGTGGCCAGAGGCAGAGCACAACATGGAGAGCTGTTCTTGAGAGTTCTGATCAGCATCAAAACCATCCTAAAATCATCATCATCAAACAAAACCATCACCATCATCATCATCGTTACTATCCTCATCAATAACATTAAGTGTGGTATTCATGAAAGAGCTGGGTCTTTATCTTTTTCTTAAAGGTGCAGAGGGACTCTGCAGATCCAATGGAGTTTGTTAATTCATTCCACCACCGGGGGGCGACAGAGGAGAAGAGTCTAAAAAATGACAATAAGGATCTCAAGAAAAAAACCTAATTTATTCATATATACAGAAAATGATCTCGGTCTCACCTGTTCTTACATGTAGATCTTCTAAGCTGCTGTTCCACCCCGATCCCCTGGGGGAGCTAGACATTGGCCAGTCTCTAATGGAGAGGCCTGAGTCAGATGAGGGCGAGTAGATAATGCTAGTGCTTGATGACAATGACCCTTTGTGGCTTTGCTCCGCCCCCTGACGCTGTTGCAGCTGCACTGCTGCAGACTGCGAGAAATGGCGGTCGGCGTCAACATTGTAGTGTGGCGCTATCTCAGGTGATGGCATATAGCGATCTGATTCCAGGGGCAAGCTGCGTCTGGTGGTCTCATTCTCCAGAGCCGGCCCCGACCACTGTCCTCTCGGCCCCGCCCCTGAATCCATGCTCCAGCCTGGGCCTCCTCTAGGGGGCAGCTTTTCCTCCTCCACATCCTGGATGTAAATCTTTGGGAGCGTTTTATCTGATGAAGAGGAGGAGACGATAGAAGGAACGTCTATGATGCACGGTGAAGAGGCGGAGAAGGCCCTGGCCGTGTCCCCCAGAGGAACGCTCAGGGGCCACTCTCCTCCTGCTGAACATCGCCTAACTGGTACCTCCTCTTCTTCCTCGTCCGCTTCATCTTCGTCATAAGATACAGCAGATTTGTAGCTCTTTCTGTGTCTGTGGTGGCGTCGGACGACCTGAGCGTTAAGATTGACCTGTTGAGGAGGAGACTCCTGATGAAGAGGAGGAGGCTCCTGATGAAGAGGAGGCTCCTGATGAAGAAGACGCTTCTGTTGAGGAGGAGGCTCCTGATGAAGAGGAGGAGGCTCCTGATGAAGAGGAGGCTCTTGATGAAGAAGACGCTTCTGTTGAGGAGGAGGCCCCTGATGAAGAAGACGCTTCTGTTGAGGAGGAGGCCCCTGATGAAGAGGAGGCTCCTGATGAAGAAGATGCTTCTGTTGAGGAGGAGGCCCCTGATGAAGAGGAGGCTCCTTATGAAGAAGACGCTCCTGATGAAGAGGAGGCTCCTGATGAAGAAGACGCTTCTGTTGAGGAGGAGGCTCCTGATGAAGAGGAGGCTCCTGATGAAGAGGAGGCTCCTGATGAAGAAGACGCTTCTGTTGAGGAGGAGGCCCCTGATGAAGAGGAGGCTCTCGATGAAGAGGAGGCTCCTGATGAAGAGGAGGCTCCTGATTAAGAAGACGCTTCTGTTGAGGAGGAGGCCCCTGATGAAGAGGAGGCTCCTGATGAAGAGGAGGCTCCTGATGAAGAAGACGCTTCTGTTGAGGAGGAGGCTCCTGATGAAGAGGAGGCTCCTGATTAAGAAGACGCTTCTGTTGAGGAGGAGGCCCCTGATGAAGAGGAGGCTCTCGATGAGTTGGGGGCTCCTCATGAAGACCTCTTTCAGGCTCCCTCCCTCTGAGAGGTTCTCGTACAGGGATAGTTTCTTGGTGATGTCTGACTGCAGAAGTTACAGGTTTTATCCTAGAATCTAGGGGGCCAAAACCAACCTTCTGTTGCCCCACTTTACTGCTCCAATCTTGGGCATTAGGCTCTGAGAAGTTGGGGGTCTTTGGTTCTGCCTCTCTCCCTCTGAGAGGTTCTTTGACCGGTATTTGCTGTCTGGTTTCTCCCTGATGTCTGACTGTAGAGATCACAGGTGTAATCACAGGAAACGCAGGGCCAAAACCCATATTCTGTCCGATTTTAGAGCTCTGTTCTGGGCCAGAAGGCTGTAAACTCCTGGGGGTCTGATCTGCTGTTGGTGCAACATAATAAACAGCTTTGTTGATTTCCGGTTGCTGTTTTAGATTTAAATTAGTTTCCACATTGTTGTTGTTGTTCAGCATGATCCCAGCTGCAGGTAGGATTGTTTTCGTGGCGGTTACTCCCGTCGGGGCGGAGACTGTTACCTCACTGAGCTGAGGTTTCTGCCGAGGCTTCTCCGCGCTGACAGCCGGGCTCACACGCGCGTTACCCGGGGAAGGCTCTCCCTTCATCCCGGGGGAGAGCGGCGGAGGCCCGGAGGAGCCCCCGTCCCCTCCGCCCGGGACCCTTCCTTTGAATTTCCTCCTGAGAACCACATAGGAGACGCCGTCAAGCTGCTGGACCGTGGCCAAGGTGTTGACATACTTTTTAAAGAGATCCCGGAGACGGACCCGGTCCGGATTATCCCGGATAAAGTTTCTGAAGTGCAGAAGCAGGTCCGCGTTTTTCACCGAGCCCCCGCCGCTCCGGAGGAACTGAAGCACCGTGTCCTGGGTCAAATCTGTGGCCATTCTGATCCAAACCTGTCCCGCTTTCTGTCTCCCTCCCTGCTGGTTTCAAAGGTCGGGGAGCTGTTTGTTTCTGTCAGACTGCATCTGAAGCTCCGCCCAACGCAGGTATTTGAGTACAGCCCATAGGTACAGCCTCACCTGCTGCATTCCTGCAGGTAACCCGGATGTGTCAGATTGCTGGCTTCTGTTCCACTGTGTTGGAATTCAATAGATAAATACGGAAGAGGAATCGGGCCAGGCATAATAAATAAATGAGGAGGAGGGTTTTTTCCCCCCCAGTGTGTACCACATGAAATTTCAAGATAATTCGCTTTTTTTCTTGACTTTCTTCTCAAAATTGTATTTCAACTCTATTCTCGTCATTTTTACTTTATTCTTAAAGTGCATTAATTAAATAATCTACATCTCATCATTATTCATTTCTCATAAATGGCCTTAATCTTCTCTTGTAGACATGAAAAAATGAATTATTGTGAATATTATTAGAGTGACTTTTTCCAAATCCAGGTCCAATTTTAGATTATGATCTAACTTCCCTCATGAATACATTTTTTAATTCCACCACAGCTATATGGAGGGATGGATATCTGCTCCCTCACCTCCAAAACCAAAACTAAACTAACCGCAATGTTATTCAGGCCAACAAAATAATTGGTTCATTGCAGCCTCCTCTATCTGAACTGTATAACCGCTCTGTGATCAGGAAAAGCCACCCTGATCACAGAGGACCCCTCTCACCCCCTCCACCCTGATCACAGAAGATACTGTACTTTGAGATGTATTTCTAAATCTTTTGTTAATGCAGGTTGTGTTTATTGTTTGATCCTTATCATCAAAGGAGAATTTCTGTCCCTTACGGTCTATAGTTTGGACAGACAATAAAGTTTATCTAATCTAATCTAATCTAAGGGTGCGTCTGTATGTGGGAAGACGCGAGTGTCTGTGTGTGTGTCTGTGTGTGTGTCTGTGTGTGTGTGTGTGTACTTGAATAAGACATCGAGTCCTTTACAAAATATTCGTTTATTTTGCAAAAACCAGGAGCTGTTCTTTAATCGTCCTTCTTTCATAAAGTGAACATCCAACATCGTTCAATAACAAAACCGGAAAAAACAGATTTCAGATATTGTGCTGTGCCTCTGAAAACAACGTTAATAAAAACACTCCAACAATAATCAACAGTAAAATCTGGATAATTGATGAAAACTTTGTTTGTCCTTTAATGTTCACAGAATATGAGAATATTTGAAAAAGGTGCTCCTAAAAATAAAATGGTAGTGGAAGAATGAGAAAGTGTAAAAAGAGGTAAAAACATCTGCTGATCAGCACTTCATGTGAAAGCCTCTTCTCTGAAGCCAACAGACTGGATCATTAAAGAGGAAATATTGATGTTGCTGTTTGTGCCGTTTGGAGTCCCCCGATCAACGAGACAGAAGGGATGCTAAATGGCACGACTACATGATGAAGGGATTAAAGTTAAATATTTTATAAAACAGAAATATGAAAGTGATGATTGTGTTTTCTGACCCCTTATACTTCAATTATGATGAGTGATAATGACCTTAGATGGTGATGCAACATTTATGAAGTTATAATCCTGATTCTTACACCTCGATTTCCATCTGTGACGTTTATCATTTCAACATAAATAAATACTTCATGTTGGCACCACCAACATTTTTTTGTGAAGTTTTCCTTTTTTGTGACCCTAGTAAAAAATACTAAAAAAGATCCATGAGGGCTTCTTAAAACAGGAGAATCAGCTAAATTGAACACGACTAAGAGACTTCTTCACTTTGAGGAAATAACCACGATGATGTCACAGTGATGTCAGCACTTTTGATTGGCACTGAGAGTTTAAACTATAGCTAAAAACCTGAACTGTAAGACGAGGTACGTACAAAAAAATAAACCACAGATTTACGGATTAAAGTCGTAATAGAAAAAAACCTTTGCACATCGATTTCATAAAACAGGTGTGTATGAAAGCAATGTGTCCATAAAAAACTTAAAGGTAACCCCTGGGGAATAAAGGATAATGAAACCACTTCTTCCTCTTGTGAATTTGGGGATTAACAGGACATAACATATTTATTTTGTATCCGTTTGATTCAGGAAGTTGTGGTATTTGTTGTTACATTCAACATTTTATGGATTTTAAATTAGATTAATTTCAAAATAAAAGCGTCTGATAAATATTTAGAAGTTTAGGTTAAAGTTGCTGCTCTGCCTTTAGAAAAACTCAGACACAAACCGTGCAGGGGAGAGGGAGAAAGTCGAGAATTGGACAAAACAAAACGTCAACAGGGAATATAAATAAAGGAGATGTTTTTTTTTATACCTCCTCTGGGGAAAATCTTTGGAATCTCAATCTTTAATTATTTTTTCTTACATTTAATGTTTCATTGACTTTTAGAGAGGCACAGTGACTAATGTGGTTATGATTCAGTGTTGATCCAGCTGCAGACAGTAGTTTAAAAAAGTGCTCCAGGCGTACAGACAGTAGTGAGAGTAGTAGTAGTGTTACAGTGAATATTACAAAGCAGCAAACCCTTCAGGATCTGTGCCCTCAGTTTGACGCAAACAGTGTCCCTCTGAATTTTGGTGTTTGTTAAAAACGTACTGTACATGTGCGAAAGCTGAGCAGGTCTTCTTAAAGTCCCTGCTTACTTCATATTGTCGTTGTAAAACGAGGCGTCCCTGGGGGAGCGTTTGAATGTTTGAGGCTCCTGAAAGCACCATGAAAGTAGTTTAAAGATCTCTATGAAGGGTTCACAAAGATCACCATGATCCCAAAAGTTCCTCACAGGAGCTTTAACAAAAAAATCGTTTTAGGGGTCCTTACTGTGATGTTGTTGGAGAATTGGACTAAAAACCTGACTCCATCAGTGACAAAAAACAACAACTTGTAGTGGACGTACTTTGAGCAGTAATTTTTGCCCTGAAAGATTTTGTTGCACATATTCCTGCCTGTTTCAGTGCTGCAGGCTGAAACAAACCTAGAGGAGCAACGACAAAACTTTTAGTCCCTAAAGGTCACTTTGACCCGATATTATGTAAAAAACCAAAACAATCAGGGCCGAGGTTTGATAGAAGATGGATTACTCTTTATAATCTCGATCAGGACTTTGAAAGATGACCATTACTTCATGAATTAAAGCTGTTACATTAACAGTGTTAACTCCTGCTTTCATGTTTGATGTTTATAGATATTATATGTGTAGATATTGAAACCAAACACATCAGTTATCACAACAGCGACAGTAGTATTAAGATCTGAAATACGAAGAACAACACCTGCAGTCCCAACACAAATGACCTTTGACAAAGAGTATCTGAACTAAAAATACACCTGATGACCCATAAAAATCATGTTGGAGAACGGCAAACGAGGGTTGGCAGGGACGTTGGCAGCAGTCGGTGTAGTCCACGCGTGTAGTCCACACGGCGGTGGTTGCTGATGTTGAGGCGAACAGACGTGTAACTTAAAGTCAGGTGTAAATAAAAAGAGGCACATTAAAGGTGTTTCTTCTTCTTCATGTGTGAAGTCTGCATAGTTCTCTCAGTGTGATCAGAGCTGGCTTCAGGCCTGCTGTCCTTCATGTGAAACCCTTTTTTAGGAGCCATTTGTCTTTTCTTTATTCATCGTCCTCCGCAGCTTGTCTGGTGACATCACAGTGATGTCACAGTGGTGGACCTGACGGAGAGAGCGGCGGCAGGAGTCACAGAGGGTGGGAGGAGTGTAGGAATAGGAGAAGAGCAGTGAGCGGGGCTGGACGACAGGAACGGAAACCCTCTCGACCAGCCGTGAGCCTCCGCCACTTCCTGCGGCAGGCTCTCGACCAACCGAGTCAGCTGCTCCTCCTCCTGCCGTATGAGGTCATCGAGCTGCCGCTGGCGCATCAAGAGGGAGGGTTTGGTGCTGACAAAAAGGCGGTAGTCCTGCAGCTGCGGCTCGGTGTGGTAGCCGGACAGGGTGGAGTGGACGACACGCTGCCGTCGGTCCAGGTTCTCCTTCAGCTCCCGGGCGTCTTCAGTCTGACTGAGGAGGAGGGAGCGCTTGTGATGGAGGGAGTCCTGAGGAGGAGGAGACAACATAATATTTACCAGATTACGAAGAAATCTGAAAAGCAAGCTTCTTCCATAAACATGTTCAATCAGAGAGCGCTAACTCGAGGCTCTGTGCTGTACAGAGAGCATTATTTAATAATCCTCTAAAAGCTGAATTAAATGTTAGCCCCGTTTTTGACAGTAAGGATGATTTGACATTTTATCAATGCTACGTCGAATTGGACATAGTACAAAAAAAGGGGGGGAAAGGGACATAACGGCAAGTTTAAGAGAGTAAAAAGCAGCTCTATTAAGTGCATAAAGATCACACCAGTCGTCCAAATATACCTGACTTATACCTGACTGTTTTTAAGCATCAGTTCACCACAATTTCACGCAGGACTTTTACCAAGGGGGGCACGTCAATTATAAGAAAAGTCCATTCTCTCCATCTTTTGCTTGCTCCACTTTTCAGAAAATGTGTTCTCAAACAGGCCGTTTGGAGATTTTCCCTTCATGACATCACAAAGGGCAGTAGCCCCTCCCCCAGGTGGGTGACACTCCCACAGCTAGGTGTTTGTTCTGCCCTCTGAGTCTGCCTTCTCACCGTAAACAATAGAACATGGAGAGAGAAAGCCAGCGCCACCCGAGTCCTTCCATTTACATATTTAAAGGTACAGACACAGAAACAGCCTGTTCTGAGCAGGGCTGAAATAGAGGGGTTTATAGGCATAATCAAATACAGGATCAGAGTGGATTTAGAACAAGAAACTTCACACACATGTTTTGAGGAGCTCTGAGACTTATTTACACTGAAGAAGAGGAGGAGAATATGTGACCTTTAAATGAAGTCTGTTTCATAAGGATTAACAGCTTTAGAAATAACACATTACATGACTTATGTTGTGATGATCTGAGTATCTGACATCATCAGTGAGGACAAAGCAGCAGATAAATGTGTTACAGTTAATGTTTGATCAGCGAGTTCCCTGAAACACTTTGACGCTGTGATTAATTTCTCTCATCAGTAAACATGAACAGAAACAGACTGACTCTGTCTCTTTCTATCTCTCTCTGTGTGGTCCTTTATGTTGTAAAGATGAAGATCTTTCATTTGTCCCTTTGTGTTCTCAGAGCTGTCCTTAAGAACACACAACGTAATCAAGGACTCTGTATCTGATTACATTTTAACATATTAGGTCAATATCCTATAATCTACAACACCTAGAAATAAATACCATCCAACGACCTGCAGTTGGTAAAGTCACAGGAGATGTAAAACCCAGGTAATGCAGGGGCGTCAGCCTCAGCCAAACCCATATAACCACACCTCCATTGAATCAGAGACCCATTAAAAGATTTAAATCACAGTCATCAAAATGTTTCTCATTCAATACTTTTGTACCATGCATGTCCTTTATCCTATATGTCTATTTTTAGGCATCTAAATGGTTTTTAATTTTTTTTTTTTACTTTATCAAATGGTAGGTATTAGGAAAGACTTGGAAAGAGGTCCAATCAGTGAGATCTGTAGTGAACATGATGATAAAGGTACCTTACTAAATGATCAGACATTAAGGAAACATGCTATGTTGAAGTGCTGGCTTCTCTGACAACAATACAGGTAGATCCTGTCAGTCTCACCCTCTCCTCGGCTGCTCCCTCCTGCGTCAGCTCCTCTCTCTCCAGAGCGAGCAGAGATCGGTCGATTCGCGACAGCCGGCTGCACAGAGACAGCAGCAGGTTCACGATCTTCTCCAGATCGCCTGCAAAAACACACAACAACAGCATCTCAGATTCAAGTGCATCAGCAAAGCATGATGGGAGCTGTGTATTTGAAAATATCAATAAAACAATCTTTGTTTTGTCGTACCGATGAACATGCTGTACTTGTCCCTCTCGTTGGGTTTGAGGCATTCCTGCACCAGCGACTCGATGCTCGCTCCCAGTGCCTGGTGACGTCTCTGCTCCTCACTCAGCACCTCCTTCTCCCGACGCAGAGCCACTATGCTGCTCCTCAGAGCCTCACACAGCTCCACCTGCAGACAGGGCGAGGAGCAGAGAAGAATTCAGGTGTTTAACCTGCATACCTGCTGTGATGTTTCATTAAATGCTACCAGAACATGGCAGAAGTTAGAACAGCTAACCAAAAATGTAAAGATTTTCAGACCAGATTTACGCTTCATTCAAGATCTTCATATATTATCTATTAATATATTTTTTTAGGTAAGTATTTTGTAATTTGCTGTTATGTCTGTAGTAAAAAGAGTTTCATATAAAATCTGTCTGTTTACCTTCCTGGTGTTGAGGTCTTTCTCTTCCTCATCCAGATCGGTCTCCTTCTCTCTGTCTGCCGCTGCACTCTCAGCGGAATCACAGACGACATCTTGGATTCTGGAAAGGTAACAAGAACAAAAACAATAAATAGAAATAAAAAAACCCCTATATTTCTAACTCGTTCATATGTTTATTAAGTGCCATTTCCTCGAGAATCATTCTCGTCCTTCTCATGTTGGATTAAATGAAAATTACACTGCTGCGGTTATTTGTCAAGAAGAGACTTTGTTCATATTTTGGTAATTAAATTAAAAAAAAGAAGGACAAAAGAAAGAGATAGTGAGCAACAAAAAGTGAAGTAATGAAGATTAAAAGAGCAAGATAACTAACAAGTCTAAGAAATTCATTAAAATAAATCTGAACAAAACAAAGACATAAAAAAGTTTAAAAAAGGATGACTGTTTGGGTGCTTTCAATAATAACTATTTAATGCTATTTACTGTTTCACATTAAGTGTTTGACTAGTATTATACACAATAAGTTAAAAACTCATTTATAGTTTCCCTAAAGTACAACCTTTGATAAGAATTTAAATTTGTAATTTTCTATCAATCGATGAATAACAACATGTGACCAATAATCAAAAAACATTGATTTTGGATGAGGCTCTTTCTAAGGTATTATAATTTTGCAGAAATACTGTAGTATCAACTGTGACCACAAGGTGTCAGTGTTTGTCTAGTTTTATATTCAGCAGGAGGTCTCTTTTTTTGTGGGGGGGGGGATACTTGTGTACAGAAATGAGTAGGAAGCAGCTTCATTACTTGAGCAACGATCAAACAGGTTGCAGCTTCGTCATCACCCACTCCCACTCGCTCACAATGAATCTTTCCTGAATATTATCTGCTGCATTCTCACAAAACCTCACCCCATCTTGCAGAAATTTTACTGGGGCTTGGCAGGAAAACGTTGGGGTAAAAGATTCTGGTGTTTGCATTCACAGCAGTTTTTTTTGCACGAGTGAAAAGCTCAACAGACATGGCACAAGTAAAACGATTAGCTAGAGGTCAAAGCATCATCACGACTCCCTTCAACTCGTGATAAATGATGCTGCTGACTTGAAGTGCTTGCTTTCTTTTCTGCCATGAAACATTCCTTTCCTGAACATCACGTTCGCCATCAGACCCAAACACACCCTGAAGATGTCGCTGACTTTAAAGGCCACACATGCAGAGACAGCAGAGGTTTGTTCTCAGTGTCAGCAGCTGATAGGAGGAGGAAGCTGTCAGCAAACACAACAAGAGTGACAAACGCTGGCTTACAGGAAGTCCTCTTCCCCCTCCTAATGCTCCTGTTATCTTTCTGCTACATTAACTCAAACTCTGCAGTTTTACTCAAACATTAAACATGAAGGTCTTTATCGTCGTCTTACATAAAGCACTTTAGAGGACATTGACTTCTTCCAGCATGAAACAACAACTTCAGTCTGTGGTGTTCTGTGTATTCCAGTGTTGACATATCTCTACATTTTCAGTTTGAACCCCACTTTGCTGTACCTCCTGCACTGCAATATTGTTTTGACTACCTTGGTGAGTAGGTCAGTAAGAAGAAGTCACTAGAGATCCGCATTGAGTTTGAAAAAATGAACTACTCGTTTATATCTCAAGCAAACAAGGACGGTTAAATCAGGAGTGAAAACATTATATCTGTGCTTCCCTCTTCAGTTCACTCGCTTCCCAGTTGACTTTTGTTTTGTTCATGTGACACCATCCACAGAGTGCATCGTACATATATGATTCGAAATTGGGAAGCCCATACGTTCTTCCGAGGTCATTGGATCACTCTCACACCCCAGGAAAATCTGACAAGATAATCTTGAGAAGCATAAAAAATCAGGACATTGCTTAAGCGGGGTACACACTACAAGATAATAAGGCTGATTTTGGGCCCGATTCCCCACTTCCGACGAAAGTCAGCAAAGGCCCGACTATCTGATGTTCCAAAGATTATCTTGCCAGTTTCTCCTGTGTTGTGAGGTGTGTTAAGAGTGATTTTAACCTCCCCGATCGGGGAAACGTGTTCAATATTTCCGATCGGAAATCCTGTGGTGTGGGGAGAACACCGAGGACGGCCGATCATGGACTCTGTGAATTGTCACGTGGAACGGAACAATAGCCAATAGGGAAGCAAGCTGACTGAAGCAGGAAGCACAACAAACATTACCATGGCGACAACAGCAATCGCGAAGCATAAAGTTAAATGGTTGTCATGAATTCAAGACCAACTTGTTGATTTGTAGCAACAACATCAGTTATCTTCAACGTGTCCTGTAAGACAAACCACAATCCAACTGACAAGGAAAGGAGTTTGACCAAAATGTTTACCGTAATGGATGTACCAGCTAACAGCTAGCCACATTTAGCTTGCCCGTCATGTTTGTTTACTCCTAAATCGCGTCTGACTGCGCAAGATTACACCTTGTGATAGTCGAGACTCTGTGGTGTGTCGAGTTGATCGTCTCGTGTAGTGTGTACCAGATTTTATGTTTGTTGGAAGAGGGGAATCGGGCGTAAAATGGGACTGATTATATTGTAGTGTGTACCCCGCTTTGGTTTCTCTAAATTTAAGGGCAAAGTCCAAGTGGGGACCAAATGGGTTTAACTGGGTTTATATATGTGGGACCCAGCTGGGTTATTGAACCTTTTTTTCTTAATTTCCATGGAGTCCTCACATGGGCTGACTCAAATGAAGGGCCCTTGTTTGGATCCAATCAGGGCTAAAAATGTATAAATGTATCCAACTCCGGATGGATTACGTCACCGAAGATTTCTGTCTAAATGGTTTGCCCATTCCCAGCCAATGTACATTTCTGTAGATCAGCCACACATAGCCAATACCCAGTTGATAGTGGCCCACTTACACATGGTGTCAGAGTTACCTGTCATCCAGTCGGCTACTGCCTCTGCGTTGCCATGGAGATTTGCCAACCACTCGGCTGTTTGGAAAGATGTCCTCCATGAGCTCTACAGTGGATTTACCTCCCCATGTGTCCAGGAGGGGCGCCAGAGAGTTATCCTGCAACACCTGGATAAAAGGAAAAATTAAAATCCAACTATGTAGGACAAGAAAAGTATATTTGGAAATAATTACAATGACAGACGTAAAGTCAGGACTAAGCATAAAGACTATGGGGGTCCAAGGGAGGGTATAACTAAATGAATAAAAGTATTGCAAGGTACAAGATAATTTAAGTTACAGAATAGTAAGATAAGAACAGGCAGAGTGAAATGAGGTACAGGGAAAAAAATATTTGTTAGTGTTTTGATTGAGAGCCCCCTGGTGGCAGAGTTTGCACACTGTGCATTTAAGTTGTAATGTTTGATCTAGATTGTTAAACAGATTGATAGCTGTACCTGCATGCAGATATCTGTTTATAAAGATACATAAATGGAGGTCTGATTACTGCAGATGGAAGCTGGGTTCAGCCTTCATTTGCCGTTTTTCCTGCATACACCAAAACCTGCTGATATGTGATAGGTCGATACTACTCGGACTAAAAACATAAACCAGAACAGTTTCCATACTATCATCCAGACCCTTGCCTACAACTTCTACACTTAATGTAAAAACTCTTAATAAAGACTGAGTTTGAAGTAGACATGATGACAAGGCTGAGAGTCTGTGTACACATAGATGTTATTGCTGAGGCACGAGGTACGCACCAGCCGACGGGCCAGCTCCTCCACTCGCAGCTCCTCTGATGTCTTTTCCCTCTTGGGTAGGGGCTGATAGTCGAGACCGAAGCTGTCCTCGGTTGGAGTGTACGTGTTGATGGAGTTGATGGTGGTGGGCTTTGGAGTAGGAAAGTGGCTGAGCACAGGTGGAGGAAAGACAGAGGAGGAAGGGGACGATGGAGGGGAGTGGAGGTTTGAGTTTCTGTTGTTTAAAACCTCCAGGGTAGGTCTGGATACAGGGGAGTGGACAGAAAAAGAGTTAGCAGATAAATACAAACATTTCCTCAATGAAACTATTCAATTTATGTTTTGAATTTTGTTTGACAGACCTTTCCAGAGTCTGGTGTCCAGCTTCTTGCTCCATCTCAACAGGAGGAGGTGGAGGAGGGAAGTCCTCCAGAATGTTCGTCTCTCTGACCGGCAGATGAGGTAACGGATGAGCCGGATTTTGGAGGAAAACTTCATCATACTCCTCCTGAGACAGGCCTGTCTTAAGTGGGGGGTGATAGTCGGTGGGGCTGATAAGGTTTGACTCAGAGATCCGGAGTGAGGATAGACGCTGTGGGTAGAAAGGGGGAGGAGACGGCGTGCTCTCCCTCATGTCTGGTGGGAGCGGCAGAGATGAAACTTGTTCATTTTCCGCAGATTGCCCCCCTATGGCCTCCAAACTGAACGCTCTTTCTCTGTAAACGTCCTTTTCAGCGTCTTCTAAAGTGCTGGCGTCACCCAAACTGTGTCTCGTCTGTCTGTCCGTCACCCGGGTTTCACTGTAGGCGGCAGTGTTTACAGCGTCACCTGTGCTTGTTTGTGGGAGGCCGGGGAAGGTGATGGCGTCTAGATTGGCCTGGCTCAGCCTCTCGTTAGCACACCACTCAGTGCTGCCTTCATCCTCAAGGCCAGGTGGAGAGAAGGGACAGGGCAAGCCGACAGACGCCGCCAGGGTCGAGGTACTGTTGGCCCGTTGTCGCTCGCTGTTTCTCTGTCGCTCTCGCCGAGTGACGGGAGTGTGGGAGGAGCCAATGTCTAGGGTTAGAGCAGAAGGAAGGGTAGAAGTGTGAATCTAAAGGGGATTATTTAGAGTTGTGTTTGTGATAATTGTTGGATTTTTGTGGATTGCTAAACCAGTCAAAAAGTGTTGTGAATAATGTCAAGCCAGCTCATCTCCGACGTTCAAAAACAGGTGCTTTGCCCTCTAATGTGTCTCCCTTGAAGAGAACAATGGCTCATATGGGGCTCATCAGTGTAATGTGAAAGTAAAAATCCCATTCATTTTCTCCAGAGCGAATTTGATTACTAGCCATACTGTCATTACCACCCGAGGTAGACTTACTATGAGCTGCCTGAGTGTGAAACGATGGTTTATGCTCCTGCAGAAGACAAACCTGTGTAAGATATCAACCTTGTTTAAGATAAACTGGGAAAAGAACTATGATACCCACAATCCTAGAGTGTCACAGAGATGTGTCTGATTGGTGGAGTCTGCTGTTAACATGGAACCTTTTTTGCCGCCACCTGTGAACATCGCCTGTCAGCTGATACGCCTGATGTTGCTTGAAGTTCAACACACTGTATATATAAACTACAATATCTTACAACATAGTTATTAACTATATAAACACTACGATTAAGAAAATAAATGTTAAAAGAAGGGCCGTGTACATTTTGAAAGAAGTTACTTGGGTCTCTTTGGAATCGCAATGGATTGTGGGATGTGTAGTTTCTTCACTCCCAGAAAAAGTTATGTACACAGTCTTGTACCTTTGCCCTTTTTTTCCTTCTTCTAATGTTTTTCTTTTTGCGCTGAATCAATTCTATAGTTACCAGAGACAACAAAAAAAATTGGCGGTCACTGTTGTCGCCACATTGGAGTTTTTAAAACGGGTGTCAGTCTGTAAACATGTTCAGTTCTGCTGTATATATACACATTTTGATATGTGACATAATGCAGATTCCTTGGCTTTTGCAGTGGACAGTTTTTTGGACTTCCTCATTGGCGTTATTTTCAACGCTGCTTGGCATAAACGCAATAGTCCTCATTTCTATGCACTATATTACAATTTTCCCTTTCGTTGTGGTTGTATGAGGTGAAGGGATTTTTTTTATTAGTCTCACCTTCTGAAGGCCCTGCAGGCTGGACGGTGATCAGACTGTTGTGTGACTGTTGAGAAGAGACAGGGCTCTCTGATGTGTTAATGTCTGCAGGTCTGAGAAGAAGAAAAAAAAACAGGTCAAGAAAGAATAAAAGGTAAATATTCAAACTTTTATAATGTCAAGTTAAAGCTTGACTGTCAGAGAGAATCTCCAAAGAAAAGCATTATGAGGAATAACTGACAGGAAAGTCAAATAACTGTTGTCTTTGTGGATTATAGAGTCGATTATAATGATAGACTGTGACATGAGGAATCCAGGATAATCCTTTTCACTTATGTCTCAGTGATGGATTACAACACCTAGCAGAGGAATGGGGTACGAGTTGTTAAAAGTTATAAAATGGCAGACACAGGCGTCAAACTATTTCTCTAAATAGCTTCAAAAAAGATCGAGACCAGGCCTTGAAAATCTTAGCCTCAACATCTATAAGTGTTCTGGGCAAACTTCCAATACTGGCATTATGTCTTTTTAGTCTACAAATGATAAAATGTTCTAGTTTGATCACTGATTAAAATGTAAAGTGTGAGGGTCAGAACTCTGTAAACAACAGTGCATGGTGTGTTCATGTTCCTGGTTATTTTCAGACTCAAGTTAGCGCTATAAAAAAAACATTCTCAAAATTCCTGTGGTGAAAGAAAACATTATTAAGAGTTGAAGATTGATAAATCCTCACGTCCTGGAGTTTACTTCTCTGTCAGTGCGCCAGACAATTTTCCCTCCTCCCTCCTTTGACTCCTCTCCTCCTCACATCGACCTCATGTGAACTCCTTTTCCGTGTTGCTCCACCTTTATTTCTGTCTTACCAGTCATCTGATCCCTTGGTTTCCTTTCCTTTCTTTCCTACCTCCACCCCTTCACCTCAGAATCCCCTTTCACCTGTCCTCATCTGCCTCGCTCCTCTTCTCCTGCTGTCATTCCAAAGTACACTTCCTCCTTCCTCCTCAGGAGGACAGTTTCTCCGTAATGACCCGTTATTGTACCTCCTCTGCCATCTTCTTCTTCTTTTCCTCCTCCTTTCACTTCCTCATTGCTCTCCTCCTCTCATCTCTCCTTTATCCTCCTCCATACCCCCCTGTTTTCTCCTTTTACCGCTGTTATTTCTCTCCCTTCTCACATTATCGCTCATTTCTCTCTCAGTGGTTTAACCTCCTCCACATCTCTTCTTCCATATTTTCCTCTTCCCTCTTTCCTCCATCCTCCCTCCTCTTGTCTCTGTCCATACCCTTACATTTCTTTCCTTTCCCATCTTTTCTCCTTATCACCTCTGTCCTCATTCGACCTTCTCTCTTATCTTTGGATCTCACCTGTCCCTACTCCCTCACTCCATCTTTTCACTCCCTCTTTTCTCTCTGCCTGTCTTTCCTTCTTCTTCTACTTTCCTCCCTATCATTTTGCTTGTCTGCTTTTCTGTCTTCTGCAATACTCCCTCTTTCTCCTCAAAACCTTTCACTTCATCTTTGCAACTTTATCTTCCTCCTTCTTCCACCTTTTCTCACACCTTCTTTCCCACCCTCCTGCTTTTGTTATTATCTTTATTAGCCCCTCCCTTTATTTCTTCTTTTCCGGTTATTCCCACCTTCCTCCAACTCCTTTTCTCTGCAATGTCACACCCCTTCGTTCCCTCTCCTTCTACCTCTCCCTCAGTCCTCCTCACCTTCTCATCTGAAAGCTCTGCTTCTCATTTCTCCTCCATTTTCCTTCCCCTTCTTTCATCTAATCCTCCCAGAAGTCCATCTATTGTTCCTTCTATGTTACATCCCGTCTATCCCTCTCCTTCTCTCCCTCTGTCCCCCTCTCTTCGTCGTCTGCAGCAGGGCGTATTGACTCTTAAGGCGACAGCTGGTTTTAAAATAGCAAGGCTTGTTGACATCCTGTTATGGAAGGCAGCTAAAATATGAGCACAAATATGATCTGAATTCCCATGATCCATCAGTCCTCTGACAGTAAACAAACAGCAGTCTGACATTTTGGCTCAAACAGTTTCTCACAAACCAATCGCCCGACAAAAAACATCTGTGTGCAGAAAATAAGGATGCTCAACTTAACCGTCTGTCAGCCACTTTTTAAGTGTTGTTTTATAATTTGATATCTTTCCCTTGAAGTTTTCCACCTTTAATAGTTTATGCATTATTGAAGATAACATGGATAACATGCCAGGGAAGAGACAGTGGCAAAGATGGGACTCACCTGTCTGCAGCCAGAGAGCTGCGTATGTCTTCAGAGATGAAGACACCGAGCATCCTGATGTCACCTGGAGGAAGGTCCTGAAACATGCAGACAGAGTTAGGTTAGGTCACTTTATTTGTACCTGTTGGTAGTGAGTGAGTTGGCCTCCTTCTTTGAACACAATCAACAATCAAAGTTTGAACATTTTGAATTCGGCCGAAGGTTTAAATTATACAACATCGAGACGACAAAACCGACACCCTGCAGTGAAATCTATTGTTTGAAGCAGGTGGACAGTTTGTCCGTTTGTCTGTCTGAACTCTAACGATGTTTACGTGACTCAGGCGGCTCTGATCACTGAAGGAGATTTGACTGCATTCTTTACAGAACTCTATCAATGTGTGTATGATGTATGTATACGTGTGTGTGTGTGTTATCTTTGCTATCATCCATAACGGACAGCGCCCAGCCACCGTCCCCCGGCTCTCTGGCACCTCACAGGAAGCTGAGGATTCTGGGCCTTTCCTGTGTGACTCAGGGCTCAAATGTCCCTTCATTAAAACGCTGCAGACTCAATGGTGACGCAGAGAGGAGCACCAATGTTGTTTAATGGAGAAATGTCTTTTACAGAGACATTGCAATAGTGAATAGAAGTCGCACGTTCAGCTGCTTTGGAGACGCCTCAGATCCAGCTTCTAATTCCCAAGAAATGAAAACCAAATAAATGGTGTTTTTTTCTGGCCTCCATCTCAATTTCACACTCAGTAAAATTCTTCTTTTTTGTTCCTTTTGCAGCACGATTTGCCATCGTTATTTGACCTATAGGTCACAGCATGTGGAGTATTCATAGTCATTTGCATAACGGGTGGAGACAAAGCAGGCCAAGTGAAAATTCTGTGCGTAAGTACTTTCCCAATTTTGTACACCAGCTTTAGTATGAAAGCTGCGCAGGCCCCAGGTGTCAGACACCTGTTGATAATCACAAATAAAGAACTAATAATAAATTCCAATTCAGACAAGATTCAGAAATTCTGAGCTTCAACACGTAAACTCCTGGTGTCAGTGCAGTGTTACCTGGTTCAGACTCTCCACCATGGGGGATGAGCGGGATCTGTGGTGCTGAGGAGACATCAGTTTCTCCTCAGTTCTCTCTAGGAGATCCTCTGCAGAAGCAGACTTTGCTGATCCCCGAGCTGACCCGGCTCTCTGCAGAGCGCCGTTCAACTGACTGGACAGTCCCAGGCTGAGGTGGGGTCCTGCAGTCTGCTGCTGGTGGACCTGGCTGAGGTCTCTGAGGGAGGACTGATTCTGTCTGCTGAGCCCTGCTTCTGGGGTCAGATCCTGGAGGCTCTGGGCCTGCAGCTGATGAGGGGAGCCACTGAGAGCAGAGACATGGAAGGAGAGTTATGGAGGTTTAGTAAAAATGTGATAATTCAACTTCACACAAAGTTATTGATATAACTTTTTCGGTGGATGTCAAAGTAGCCATCAAAAGCTGCAAAGACATTGCATATAAAACTACAAATCTTGAGTTAGTGATAAGGTAAAACTTTAAACTGCTGGAGTCCAAAATCATGAAAATTCATGCATGAATGTCTTGTCAACAGCTTTTTTTGAAATATTACAGTCAGTTCTAAGTGGTGAAAAGACCAACAAGGCTACCCTTGAATGAACACTGCCAGCAACCCTAAAATATCAATCCATAGCTGTGTTCAGATCAAAAGCACGCACATTTTTTTGCATAGCGCTGTTGCAAACAAACTCAATAAAAAGGAAGGCCAAATGGGCACTGTGTTGGGCAAAAGACATGAATTCTTGTCATCAATCCTAACAGCACTGAGATTCTCTCAGCCTCCTGAAGTTGCATCAGAAATGTTTGATAAAACCTCTGTCCAAAAAAAACAAAATTCTTTAGAAGTGTTTGGCTTGTTCGACTTGTTGTTGACCTGAAAAAGGTTCAGCTTCACTTTGTAAACTATATTTGAACCATAATGTAGAGAGCCAGATAACACCTGGCTAGATGGCTAGATGCTTCTTGGATAGTTTCAGAAATTGAATGCAGTAATTTGCTTTTCAATGAGAAATAATTGTACTGAGTTTAACAAAAGTATTTGTCAGGTCATATATTTGACCTTGGATTACCCTGGTTGTGGGTGTGCTGGAGGCCTCGGGGAGGTCACCGTGCCTGGGTAGAAAAAGTTGGACTGGAAACTCCGCAGGTCTGCTCCTGGAGGGAGGCTGGAGCAGAGACTCCTCCCCTCAGAGGAGAAGATGGATTCCTGGAGGGAGAGCATGCTGGAGGCGGAGGAGAGGCTGAGGGTGTCTGAGTAACAGGAGGAGGCTGAAAAAAAAGGAAAGAGAAGGTAAGAGAGTCTATCAGTCTAATGTATACTTTCCAACCATCAATCCTTCATCTTTTAATCTTTCTTTCTTCCTCCACCCACCTGCGTGGTTAGAGTTTTCAGGCTGTAGAAAAGCACTCTGAGGCCTCAGTCCGCTCCTCTGTCCACCTTCCTCTCTTTTTACACCTCTCTTTCTCTGTACGTACTCAGCCAGAGCGTCATGTTGAAGTTGACGTAAGTCGGTTCTTACTGAAGCATTTTGCTCAAACATCTTCCGCCGATCTGCCACGCTGGTCTCTGGAGATCAGAGTCAAGCCAGGGTAAGTCAAAAACAGTGTTGATGTTGCTCATGTGCAGAAACAGATACCCAACACAAACATTGCTATCAAGCAAATTTCAGTGCAAGATTTTTTTTTTTTTTAAAGGAACCTTAGCTCTGCTTGGGACACAGCTTAATCCATGTTTAAAAATATTTCTATTTACCTCCTCCACGTCTGAAGAGCGCAACAGTCTCCGTGTCTGAAACCCCGACCTCGTTCATGTTCTCTGGCTCTGAGTACGATCGCTTCTTCTGGTCTGCTGCTAGGCGCCTCCGGCCACAGATCCGCTGCACAGCAGGGGGTCCAACAGGTGGGACACTTGGGAGGGCTGGGGGGCTTGCACCACGGACCTCAGGACTGACCACATGTCTCTTCTTGGGGGTGTGAGGGGATGTGACAGGTGGTGGTGACTGGGATGGGATGATCACGCTCTGTGGTTTTGGCATGGTTTTGGGGCCTTTTTTCTCAGGAGAGAGGTACTTGGCAGGGACATGCGAAGGTTGATGACTAGTGGAGGTGGAACCAGGAGGGGAAACTGCAGGAGGTTGAGGGCTGCTAGAGGAGCTTAGGTCTCTCCGTCTGAAAGAGGTGGACCCCAGGACCTTAAACTGGGCATCTTTTAAGGAGTCCCTGTAAGATCTGATAAGAGACAGATTTTCAAAAATCAGAGCGGCTGAAAGAGAGAGACAAACCTTGCACAACCTTGACCTGGGCAAGGAATCTGACCTACTAAAAGATCCTGGGCTGGCAAAAAAAAGGTCTATTGGAAGGACTCTGAACTAGTGAAGGCCTCTGACCAACTGCAGGTCCTCTTGTCATTCTGACCTCTTTAAAGACTGAAGAGCTCCTCATTGTTTAAGGACTCTTACCTGTTGGGTGAAGTGTCCTGCATTGACCCCGGCATCTTATTAACTTCTTGTTTCCAGGGGAAGTCTCTGCTGCTGTCTTCCTCTCTGGTTTCATTAAGGTGAAAGGTGCTGCGGCTCCTCTGGAGGGCTGAGTTGGGATCTGCTGGAGACCTGAAAACCACATAGAATTGTAACTTTTAAGACAGAGTTAACGTGACTCATTTTCCATAAGAGGTATTCTCAGAGGAATTCCGACATAGTGAAGACAGATCTGTGGTACTGTTAAAAAAAGAACATTCTCTTCTTAGGTAAACTTTAGCATTCCTAGATTTATCAATAACCCTAAACCTTTCTACCTGTGTTTCAGCTCGTTGCTGACTCCTCTGTAGCTCATTGTTCTGTGAGCTTTGCTAGCACTGGTGCTTCTCTCGAGCATGTTTCTGAGATCATCTGCTCCACAGGCGGTGCTGCGACCCTTAACAGTCAAGGAATTAAAAAAAGAAAGGCATTAAGGCACTATCACAGCCAAATGTTCACCGTCATCACTTGCTTTGGAAACTGTCTTGGTTGAATCTGTGATAAAGTAGTTACCCTCAGTGGACTGGATCTGTATGCGGTGGCGGTGCTTTGACTGCGCTGCTTTCCGGCACGTTCCCGACACTCAAAGCGACTGACTTTCTCCAGCACAGAAAGACTGCGAGCAGGTCCTTGGTTTTCATCAGCAAAGTTACTGTTGCCATGGCTACTGGCAGAGAAAACACTGTCGGGGCTGGGGGATCGTTGGACTTCAGCAAGGGCATTCTCCAGACGGGTCAGCAGATGTTCTCTGTCTCTCTCCTGCTCCCAGTGATGGTACTGCAGAGCTGCTGAGTCACTGAGGTGACGGGGAGCAGGCTGGGAAGCAGGGCTCGAAGGAGCCTGGGGCTGAGGTTGAACAGGAAAGTGAGTAGGTGGCACCTGTCCCTGGGCAAGTTTGGGTGATGCCAATGGCTCTGAATGAGTGCTGGTCTGGTCCATTGATCTAAAGTAAGTGATGGAAGGGGAAAAAAGAAGACATCATCAGTAAAAACCACTGGCTTCCAAACAGCGGAACCACCCAACCACTCAATGTCTCAAAGCTGCTTTTATATACTGAAAGGTGTTAACAGGCCAGTAACAAAGGAATAGCTGTTGTTGCGGATGTTTCTGTTGCTGTGCAATGTACCCACATCCTCTCCAGTTGTTTCAAACTTTATGGACCATCAGTTACTGGCAAAAGTCTTTCTTAGTGCTTTCCCCAACCTGCAACCATGTAGGGCCAAAATGGAAAAGACAACTGGGTCCCAAACAATTTTCATCTTTCATCCAACTTGGACTCATCCAGTAACCATGTTTGCTGTCTGAATGTTATGCCCATTTCTGGCCCACAAATCCACTTAAGAGTCCACTCTAGGCCTGGTAAAAAAGCCTCCCATGGTAAAGCCCATGTAGGCCCTGGGTTGAAGTTATAGGTGGGCATTGGGTTTGGCTTGTTGGGGCCCTGGAGCCATGGGCCCTCTGCTAAAGCTGTAGATGGTAAATTCCAAGGGGGACAGTGTCTTCCTTTTCTGCTAAGCCGGCCTTATCTTTAATAATAGACCAGTCTTAATATCTTAACTGGCCAACAAAAAAGGAGTTTCTGTTGTTGAGTTGCATCTGTTGCTATGCATTGTAACATTTTGTTAAAGATGAAGCCACATCCTCTCCAGTTGTTTCAAACTTAATAGACTACAAGTCTTTCTCAGTTTTTTTTTAAACCCAGGACATAAACATGTAGGGTCAATAAATGGATGTTCAAATTGGTCCCAGACAATTTAGTCCACAGTTTCCATGCTTGACTGGACTCAACTGTGCATCCCTTTTTCTTTTTCAACTTTATGTAAGAGGTAACCATGTTTAGGTCTAGTTAATTCTGGAACAATATGAGTGCAGGCCAATGGGGGAATGGAGCAACCTAGCCTAGTGAGTGTGTGCCCAAAGAAGAAGACAAACCATACTGTACCTGTTCCTGTCTCCCCTGGACTGAACAGATGTCGAAGGTTCCCTCCAGTCTTGTGAGGATGAAGGTCTGAATTCTTGTTGGGTGGACTGGATGTTGGGGATATGGAAGTCCTGGTTGGGTTGCTGTAACATCTGGCTGGGGGCTGCCTGGCTTGTATGGATGTAGAACTCTTGGAAGCTCTGACTGGGAGGTTCCTGGTGGTTTTCGGGTCTTTTGGTCCCTGTTTGGCCATTCGACCCTCCTCCAGAAGTTTTCAGGTTGGATTTATTGTATTCAAAGTAAGACTCTTCCTTTTCAGGCCTGCGGAAGAGAGAGTTATAAACAAGGCACATATAAACAGGATTTTTTGGTATTATAGCACAAATTTAGAGTAATGACCCAAATCAGACATGCACTACCAGCCCCAATGATGTCCTGAATTTAAAGACTTTAGGCAGCAGGAACAAAGTTGAGTAATAAAATAGAAAATTAAATATCAGTACCTATTGTCTTCTTGTGCATGAGTTCTGAGCTGTGTCGAGGCAATTATTGAAGATGAGGAGTTTGAGTATGTCGATGATGATGTGCTATTTTGGTAACCATTTTCTGACATCCTTCCATCTCTCTGCTCTTCTATTGCTGCGTCCTGTCTCCTTCCAACACCCTCCGGCCCTTGGTGTTGTTGTCGGCTGCTCTCCATGGCCAGAGCGGGATAGACTCCAGAGGAGCCTGGCCCAGGGCCTGTGCTGGGCAGCTGTGCAAAGTGGGGCTCGGGCTGGGGGACAGCGTACATACCAGTGGGCAGAATTAGCCTGCCCAATTGGGGAGCAGATCCCGTAGGGGAAGGTGACTGGGGGAATCCTCCACCCTGCCGGGGTTTAGTGGTTGGGCTGCTCTCTGGACTCTTCTCTATCACTGTGTGGAGTTGACCCTCAGTGCTGTACAAGCCTTTTGCTGGAATGACATTAATGATGTCAGTGTTTGTAAGGATAATGATTGAAGAGCTTCATCTACCTGACGTCTTTTTTCTCTCTTCATATCAGATATTCTACAAAAATGTACAACAAGTACCTTTAATCTATCAACTTTTTGGGCTAAAAGGAAACTCTTTAACAACTTTGGTTGGCATATTTAGATTTTTTTCTAGTCTTAAAATCAGTAAAATCATGGACAAAGATTTTATGTTTACCTGCACCTAAGGCCACAGGACCACTGGAGTGATGCCAGGAACCTTTCTGCAGAGACCTGAGCAAAACAAATTGGGTAAGATTAGTTGAAGTACTACATATATCTTAACAACATTTGAAGCATACTAACATTTTTTTGTTTGTAATTTGAATCATTGCATCAGACCGCATTATTTAATAGCCGATTGCACCATGTTGAATCATATTGAAAGGTATTTTTAGTAGTATACCTAAGTGTCTGATATTGTGAACTGATTCTGACTTCTGACTACCTTAGTGACCTGGCATTATCCAGACTGGACCAGGAGCTTGGTCTCTCGTGATTTCTGATGGCTGCGTAGCTGTCGCTGCGCCTTGGTGGAGCTGGTGCCCCCTTCAGGCTCTCATAGGAGCTGCGGCTGCCTGCTTGGCCCCATATTGGACCTACACTGTGTCTGTTTGAGGCCGGTACACTACCGCAGCTGCTTCCACTGCTGCTGCTGCCGCTGATGCTTCCACGGTAGCAGACCCCTGCTACTGAACCTGAAAACCAAAAATGTACATTAAAACCTTATTGTCATTACATCAAAATGACTTTATCCAAAAACCATTCTTGAAAGAGGAACTTTGCCTTGCACATCTCGGTTTAGTGCTGTCCTCGATCCTCCCCCGCCTCTGGAATCATTATTGCGTTGTAAGGCGGCAGAGGTGGAGCCTAACTCCTGCTCTTGAGATAATCCCTGCTGGGCATCGTAAACTGATCGGACGTAACGCATGTCCGCCTGTTGCAACTCTGCACTCCCTCCTCCTCTCTGAGAGACTGTCTCCAGCGAATAGGAACGCTCTGGGCTGTAGGAGGGGGTGGAGGCAAGGTAGTCTGGGATACTAGAGCTGGTGGAGAATGAGGAGTAGGCGGAGTCCCGTTTGTTGGTGAGGTGGTCGATGCTGTTGGAGGACCTGGAGAATGACGAGACACAATAGGAGATCATGATATTGTGATATTTAAAGCCATGAAGGACACATTAGCAAACCATCTGCCAGACGATACAAAGATCCCCAATGCAATCCACCATTTGAAAAACGTACATCTGCCTACCTTAATCAAAACTTTAAATAATGTCTCTTGAAGCTGTGTGCAATGGCTGAGGATTTATTGGATGGTTTATTGTTGATTGTGCTTATTGTTTTTATTTATCCGTACTAGAATGGAGGCAGATACATGTGTGCACCACTCAAGGCAAAACTTTCCTCTTAAGGGACAATAAAGAGTATCGTGAAATATCATATGTCGAATCGTATGGTGAAAACCTGAGTCTGTTACTTTTAAAACAACACATTGTGACTGAGTGATCCCAGACTGTCGAATCTAAGAACCCTTGGGCTATTGACTGATGAGGATTAAGCATCTGGGAGCAACAGTCAATGTATCAGAGACTTTAGGTGTAGCCAGCCGATAAACTTTATTGACTGTCGGCTGGTTAATTTTTCATGGTTAGCTAACTATCTGAAGCTCCTGTAGAAAACTTTGGATTGTGTCAGTTATGGTTACCCAAACCCAACCAAACCTACTCTGTGGCAGCAGTTTTAGGCATTAAAAACAAGTATGTCGTATTCAGAAATATTCAATCTTTATGCTGGTATCAGTGCTTGCTTTTGAAGCTCATAAAGAGTCATTCATTTTACATTTCAGTCTGTTTCCTAACCAGCAAAAAGCTTCCTCACAGGAGCTTTAAAAACACATCCAATGCAGGCTCAAATAACAGCAGAGATTTCCTTTTGACCAGTCCTTCCATCTCTCCTACATTTTTCTACATGCAACCGAAGCCTTCTCAAATGTGATTGGTCAAAAATATTCACTAAAAACCCCAAATCGTGTCCCTTTCCTACAGATTCTAAAGTCATATGCAGAATTTGCTTATAGGGTTAAGGATGAGTAGGCTAAAACTCTCAGGAGTTGTCAAATCAGGCTCCTTGGCTCATTACATTCCCTCTCCTCTTGAGCTATTGGTGAAATAGGGCAACATTGTTCAGGCGTTGCGGTTGCTTGATCAAAGATGTGGGTCAGAAGGACACTGCAGCCAACAGCAGAAGGCCAACACACAGCTTTAATGCTCACTGCTGCTACACAACAAAATATTCTAAGGTTTGTATTTTTTAAGATGTTCAATAAAGAGGTGTGCAGTTTCCCAATGTGTTCACTCTTTGTGCTAAGCTAGGTTAGACACGTCCTGAACCTGCTCTCAGACAGTAGTGTTTGAATTTACCTGGCAGAAGACAGCTGGTGGCAGGAGGAGTAGGCAGGGTGGGGTCCGCTGTGGCTGTGATGGTGGTGGTGGTGCTGAGCTCCGGGGTGAAGCTGGGAGGACTGAGGGGGGTCCAGGCTCTCCATGCTGCCCCTGGAGCTGTACTGGTCCGGACTTTTCCTCAGGTAGCCACCACCAGAATCAAACCCGCCAGACAGGTCAGTGGTTGAAGCACTAAAAGACAGAGACGGAGAATTTAAACCATTATGCAAACTAAAAAATTGGTGTGTGGGCTTTAAGTGAACATTTGCATGTTCATGTTTTTTTAATTTAGCTGATATTCAATCAGGAAACAAAGTATTGGACAAATTAAATGAGTGATAATTCCGGTGACAGGTATGAATACCAATGAAAAAGAAGGGCTGGTTTTCTCTTACTGGAGTTTGTAGTCAACTTGAAAATGTATGAAAATCAAAGAATTCAGGCTGTAAAAGGTCCAACTGCAACACAATGCTTAGGGGTCTTCGTGAGCATACAGTGTCATGGGGTTTGTCTTAAAGGGGTTTGTCTTATTTGTGAGAATTGCTGGTTGTAAAGTGGGGGATATGCTGCAGTGACCTCACCCCAAATAACTGAGTGGAATGTAAATGTTTGTGTGTGCGTGAGTGTCTACGTCACAGTTTGACCCACCAAATCTTTCAACCGAACACAATGCAATTACTGCTCTGAAAATGAGGGCAGCCTCTGTCTGTGTCGGTCTCTATTTCTCTTTTCCTGAGTCTTAGTTGTGTGTCATCGTAGGTCATCTTTCTGTTTGACTTTGAGTTTCGACTAATAAAAAACGTTTCTTTAAAAAAACATTTTGCAGAGCTGTTGCACCAAACTTTTCATTAAAAAACCCAACTTTATATGTTTGTGTGTGTGTGTGTGTGTGTGTGTGTGTGTGTGTGTGTGTGTGTGTGTGTGTGTATGAGGGGGTAGTTGCCATGGGAGACCCCGAGGTGAGGGGGAAGGGCACCAGGAATGCCCCTTTCTGTGGGCATCGACGTCAATGCCCTGTCCAGTGTCCACCCAGCACGGCCACGTCACAGAGTTTCATTCATCCTTCTCTGCCGTTTCAAACAAACAGTGATGTAACTGCGATGACATAAACCTGCTGACCAACAGCTTCAGCTCACAGTAAAAACAACAAGCACAACACTGACTCAAGGCTGTTATCTATCCACAAGCTTGTGTAATTGAGAAGACTCACTGGCTGGGAACACACTATCTATTGATATGGCACAGCATGCACTGAGGTCAAATATGAAATACTCAAACCTTTACCACTACAGGACAATAAGGTCCAAAATGCTTTGTCATGTTAACCAAAAGATGTCAAACACACGTTTTTAAAAAACGATCAAAAGTAGAAGTTCCTTTAATGTCCACTTGAGGCTGGCTCGGAAAGTGAGTCATTCCCCATACAGCCTCATGTTAAAATGCCTGCATGTTTACAGGTTAAATTATAATGAGGCCACTAAGTGTGAATATCTATTTTCAATAAACAAATAACAAATGTCAAATGATTATATTTGATAATACAGATTAATTGCTAAATTTCAGAAGTTAATTGCAATAAATCACATTTTTGAATGTTTGAAAGTCCATTATTTTGCATTTAAAAATAAAAACAGTCGGGCTTCTATTTTGAACTTTACTGCCATAAGCTGAGAGAACTTTACTTGCTTTTATTTTGAAATAAAGTAAGGACCTTCTGGTAGATTGAAGGTTAGGACAACTTATAAGCATAGAAACAGGAAGTGATTAGTGATCCCAAAGTGACGTCAAACAGCACAAAGGAATGGTAACAAAGGTCAATGTGTGATGTCATCAGGTGGATATGACTGTGGACTCGTCAGCTGAGCTGCCTGAGAGTTTGTTTAAGTGAAACGAGACATTCAAAGATGCAGCAGTGTCCTTCTTTTACATCCCTGAGACTACAGGGAAACACTGAGGACGACTATCTACGGTGAGCCTGAAGGGACAAAAAGCACGAGATTAATCCCAATTTAAAAAATGAATGCATTCATTTAAGACCTTAATTAATCACGAGTAACTAGTACGTAAATGCTGACAGCCATGTAAATGACATTATTTGACTGCGTAATTATCATAAAATATTGTAAATATTATAATAATATAGTAAATATTGTATGAAATATTTAGAGCTTCAGGGTATTGTTGGTGTCAAACTTTGTTTTAATATTAAACAACTCCGATGTCACACTTTAAAACACAACTTGTAGACAGACCGTCAAAGGTCACATCATTTCAACAGATAACAGCCAACAGCTTCTTATTGATCAGGTCTGCACCTCCCGCGATAATAAAACACAAGGCATAGTTTCGTTTGGAGTATCAAAGGAGCTCTATAAAAGTTCAGTGAAAGTGTCAGAAACAGAAACACTTTGATCCTGTCATAAACGTGCTTGTCATCATTTGTCCTTTAACAGAGCGCCATTGTTTTTTTCATTGTCATCGGTATGGGTGTGGACTTAGAGCAACATCAATCACCACAGGCGCTGTAACCACAAGTCAATAAAACCAACAACTGCAAAGTAAATGTCATATCAAAGTGGACCCCTGAGGTGGTATCTGGAAGCGGGACATGTTTATGTCAAGAGCAAAGATTGGTGTCTGTCAAAGATGAGATAAGACATGAGGCGATATGTGTTTCTCTGAAAACATGAACTATGACCTCCGGGTGTCTGATTGAAGCAGTGAACAAAAAAAAAAAAATCCACGATACAGGAAATCACCAATTCTTTTTAGTTTATATGAAGTTCTGCTGAATTTCATCACCATCACTACACAGCTGCAAACAGTTGGTTCAAATAAAAATACAAAGCAGATGAAATGATGGACATTTATGGTCAGAGCGGGATGTTTATGTGATTTTGAAAACAGACCTGGCGTGGTAGCCGTGGTGCCAGGCGTTGCTCATTGTGTCCATCCCTCCCTGGTTTAATTCCTGCTGTCCATCACCGAGCTTCGTCGAATGCCACGAGTGAGGACGAGATGCCGACTCACTGCGTCTGTGAAATTAAAGCACACAAAAAAAAAAGAGGGTTAGTGTTTGATTCGTATTTCAGATCTGACGACACATTCTGATGCTTTGAATCAGATAAACAAAATTTATCACACATCAAATGTAAAGCACCAACACAACTTAGTGTCTAATATTTATATACGGATGTAAAAGTAAGAGAAAACTGCATGGAATCCAGCATTCACAACTCAGTTCCGATTTCTGTTTTAGAAACAGTTCAGCATTAAATACTATCCTGATAGTTGTCCTCCCTCAGAAACACAACAACACACACACAGCTGCATGGTCTCATTCCACAGAAGTCTGACTCACCTTCTGCCTCTCCCTTCCTTTTCAACGGAAAGACATGCAGAAATACTTTTAACATGAAGCTCCTAAAACATAGCAACAAGGTAATGCATCACATAAGTTGGTTTGAAGTGATTTCAGTGGCCTTTTTAATAGGCTGTTCTTTAAAGGTGCACTATGGCGATTTGGTGGTGAAATTTGAAAGTTAGAGAAGTGAAACAATTCTATGCGATATATCTGAACTAAATACACAAACTTTACTCAAAGTTAAAAATGGGTCTTTGGATCACTGTTAGGAGCTAAAAGGCGACCAGGAGAGTTAAGGTTTCACTGTTGTGGGCCCCCCACCATAAATTCTCGCGCAGCATTTGATCTTCAAACATTGTTCCAGGGACCACATGTTCCTCTGATGACAGTTTGTGTATAGAGTTATGAACATAAACCACTGCAGCTGTACATTTCTAAAATGTTTCCATTTCTCTACCAAACCTCCATAGAGCACCTTTAAATTATCCCTATTAAATCTACCGCATCCAGCTTGACCTCCAATAAGTGATAATGACAGACACGTGTTTTTCAGCCATCGGTCCTCACTTTGAATTGCTCTCTGTATTCATCTCTGTTTGTATTTTCCACTGAAGCTTCTGTCAAGGAAAATTCAACGACTCGTGTACACTTTTTTACAAATGGTAAGGCATGATTTTCACTACTCTTTTTTTAAATGAGGGGTTTATTGATTGAGATTAAGAGCAACTAAACAACAAAAACAGAAAGTCAAGTGATTTAAAGAAAGTGAATGCACAAACTCTTTTACAAAAGTTATTACCTTCGTAAACCTTTCTTTAGTTTGATTGTGTTTTGTTGACCTGAAGCTTGACAAACAATATCACAACAATTTCAGAACAACCACACTTAATCTCTTTACGGTGATTACATTTCATGGATCAAATAAAATGTTGTTTTTGATTGCAGTGAAAATATTTAAGGACATCACAATCATTATATTTAAATGTGTTATCTAACGAGACATTTGAAAAAATGGCGGTCAAAATAATCTCTCCTCCATCCTCTTTCATACTCGACATGTTCTGCTGCTCTGTATTTATCCACACAGATAAACAGGAAACGATTGTATCAGAGTAAGTAGGAGACAGAGACATGAAAGCATGCACGGACCAAAGGATCCTGGGTAATGACAGGACGTAACTGGAATACCTCAACATTTTATCATCACTGTTAAGCTCATACAGATAGTCAGCCATTCCATTAGATCTAGGGGCTTGAGGGCGCTTTCAGTTTGACTTGGTTTGAGTCTTAATCTAATGTTGAGGAACAAAGACCACTAAAAGTTGAGATACACCTACGCATTAAAGTATGCAATGTGTAATTTCAAAGGCGTAATGACGACGGAACTTCATTAAGGCGCTGTTACAGAACCACAATCTGTAAAGGGCTAATGTCTGTCATTTTGTAACCCCCCCCTCCCAAAAAAAAAGAAGATACAACACAAACAAGTGCACTTATATACTCCAAGAATTGTAACGTTGTCAATATCTTAATTAAAACCTGCTCCACACAAAATCACGCAATTCACCGTGATAATATCCTGTTGTTAAACCGTCAGGTGGAATATACAGAAATCTCCAGTGTTGCCCTTAATTGGTTCCCCTTCCAATTTATTCAAATGCTTTTCCAGTAAGCATCCATTAATCATAGTGATAAGAAATTCTGTTTCCCCCAATTTCTATTGATTATGGTATCCCCCAGGGCTCAATTTTAGGTCCCATCAATTTTTCCTTTTTCAATTTTAACTTCACAGGTTTACAGAGAAAATATAAATATTGTAGGAATAAAGTTCATAATAAAAGTAAAAGGACCAAACTGTTATGGGAAGCAGGACAACTACATGTCAACACCACCGAAGAACAAGATAAGCGCACTGAGGGTGACCACATCATCATTCAGCTCTCCGTATGGTCCTGTCCTGCAACCATCAACAGCTGGATTAAAAGGGATTGCACTTCACACTTTTGTTGCCCACTCAACAGAGAGGCGATACAGCCAGGTAATATTTAAGGAAAAAAAACATTGCTGTCCTTCCTCATTGGGTCTCCAAGTCCATGTTCAGCTAAAAAACACCAATTAAAGCATCCTTAAGAGCTACATTTTAGGTACCACCCTGTTCTTTTCTTTAGAATTTTTGTCTGCTTGAAATCATGTCATAATAAAACATTGTTTAGGATTATTCAAATTCAGTGTCAAGTTACAAAGTTGTTCTAATCTCCACATTCACAGTAACTATTTTCCTTGAGAGTAATTTTAAGGAAAATCCTTTACTAATCAGTCAAATCTCTGATGTGATGACAATAAATTGGTTTCTTAATCTTTTGCATCTTTCTGAATAGACGTTTATACAGTTTTACCTGGAGGTGAACCTGAGGACTTTAGAGATGAGGCCGGTAGCTAGGCCATTGACGCTGGCCTCTGATGGCGATCGACAGAGCGCCCCTTCTGACCGACCGAGATCTGCTTTCTTCTTCTGCTTCTTCCGAAGCTTCCGGCGGTAGAATGCCTCAAGCAGCTCCATGGCCTCAAATCGGTCAAATCCAATTTATTCTCTCTCTTCTTTGCTGTACTCTCTTTTACTTCTTATTCTTCACTTTGAAAGTTCCAGGAAGTTCGATTTCCAAACCCATTCCTTGCCAGCCTTTGATTCCTTGTAGAAAGACTTGCCAGAAAACTAACTTTAATTTTGCCGAACCTTTCTATGTCTTTAAGATAAGACCCTCCTTCACTTTCCTACCTGCATCTACACACGACTAAAAAAATAAAAAGCATTTTTTTAGGTCAAATGTTGTTGTCTACTTTCCAAAGTTTGTTCTTTTCACAAAGTTAATCTGCTCCCTTTTGCCATCCAAACTCCAACAAAAAGAAGCACCTCTACAGACCATGCCTCGACCATCAGTCTCTTTGCTCCAGTTCCAACTGGGGCTGGCCGACTGGGTCGTACTGCGTTTGTCCAAGGCCCCTAGCTCATTAAGCAAATTATGCAATTAAGCGTCATTAAGCCGCCATACGATAAAAGCATAAAGTAAACATCCTCTACCCAGCGTGGTCTTGCTGGTAGCTGTTGATGTGGTGAGTTAGGGAGAGACACTAAGGAAAAAGGGAGGAAGGATGAGAGATAGTGGGAGAGAATGAGGGTGGGAGTATGCAGGGCGATAAGAGTTGTTAAGGAGAAGCTACCGAGGAATGAAGCAACCAAAAGTCTGATAGAGAGATGGTAGAAAGAGAGCACATAGAAAAGACAGATTACAAAAATCCAGAACAGTCACAATGATGGAAGTAAAATGAAAATAAAACGGAAAAGGAAGAAAAGGGAAAGAAGTGAGAGGACAGATAAACAAGGACAGAGAGTTGTTGAAAACAGTGAGTTATTGAGCTCAGTGGAGCAGAAATGGAGTCTGAAGCCGCGGGGAGAGAGGCATCTCATGATGCAGCATGTGGTGCTAAACAATGAGACGTATTGACTGATAGGACTGGAGACCAAAACAAGGACAGACATATTGACAGTCTTAGCAATCAATGTTAAGTCTACTTACTTGAAAAGTTAAATAAATTACTTTGTTACTGAAAAATAAGCAATGGTAAAATATTGCGATGGTTTTGGTCATTTAAAGGTCAAAATGATAAGTTTTCCAAAACTCAGGTTATTATTCAGTTATTAAACAATGTAGGCCTGATGACATTATAATAAATAATTCTAAAACATTGTTTAATGTTTAAGCTAGCAATCAGAATGTTAGCCGACCTGGGACTGTTAGCATGTTAGCATTGTCACTTTAAAAACATTAGCCTTTTGAAGATGGCTGAATAAAACTTGTAATCAATCCAAAAATAATCTAAAGTGTGACGCCTTCATCTTCTGCAATCAACAATAATAAGATTATAATGTATTGATATGAGTACATAAGGAAATAATAAACCCCTCAAAGACCACTTGACTGACCTTAAGGACATTTGCAGCTTCATCTAAGACTTTCAAGGATGTACCCAATGACCTAAACGCCTGGGACTTCCCCAAGGACCACTTTTACTTATTCCAGAATCTGTTGAACCCCCTTAGGAACTATTTCAGCCTCCTTAAGAGCAACCCACAACTTTTCAAGGACCTCTTGAACTAATTCAATAACACCATGTTTATTTAAAACTAGCTGTTCAAGAAGCCCAAAAGTTCCTCGAGACACATTAGTCTCCTCAAAAAAACTCTCCAAAACAAACAATCATATTTCTGCCAGAAAGCATCAGAAATGTTCAAGACAATATCAGCAGTGGTGTGAGTATACCCACCTATTTTTTAGTCTCCATAGAGTATACCCACTTCTCAAACTCCTGTGATTGCTCAGCCTGATCTACACAACTTGTAGGTTTCAAAAAGTGCAAATAAATCATGGATTTATTCTTTCTTTTGTGAGCAGGGAATACATTTTAAAGTAAGGCTGTTAATTTGAAAATGTAACAACACAACTTATTAACTTGAACTGTAAAACCAATATATCATGTAAATACTCCAAAAAAAGTAATGTGAGTAGACTAGTGCATTGTTTTGTGATGCATTATCCCCAAAACTGTTTAGGAATAAGGAATCGTTCACTCAAAATGCATCACTGAGTAGTTTCAGCCTGTAGTCTGTTGACC